CACCAGTCGCGGCGCTGACGAAATTCGATGCGCAGCACTTTTCGGAAAGACCTTCAATTCGTTAACAATTTTTTATATCAACCGGAGCCAGCCGCGAGCGTCCCGAGCGAGCGTCAACGTCAGAAAATACCCCAATAGGCAATAGGCATGAATATTAACCCTCGCCCGCACATGCCATTTTCCCATCCTAGAACGCACATGGGGGGGGTTGCCGCCCCCCCCCGCGCCATTTCGTTCCTGTTGGAGATAGAGCTTAGCGGTAAAGACCAAAAAGATTCTTTGGGAAGAGACGAATCCAATGATACCCAGTTTTACCTTCTCAGGTCAGTCATTGACCGGTCAGGTCAAACTAAAAAATGTTGCTGTTTTTGGTCACCGTTGGATATCAAGTGCGCTGCTTATCATACACCGATGACGATGCCGTTTTCTGGTGTCAAGCCAGCTAGAACCTCTTTGTCACACTACCCGACCAGGTTTTTGCTGCTGAGGTCATTTCAGGTCAAGTTAGGTCAAGGTCAATTATATGTGTTTGTATGTCTGTGTGTGTCTGTGTGTATACTGATGTGTGCACCGATTGTTTATGTGTCCATATTACATGAAATCATGATCTGAGAAGCTTTTACCAAAAATAGTCAAAAAAAAATTCACAAAAAGTAAATTCCGCTTGCCTAAAACGCAATTATCTTAGATGACCTAGGTTGACCTTGACCTTGACCTTGACATCTGTACATCGTCGAACAACATGTTCCATGATAGGTGGGAGGTAAGACTGGCAAAAAAGGCCGAAATCAAGGTGTCAAAAGCTCACAAGGCCCATAGCCAACACTAGATGTTGAGAATTGGCCATTTGGGTCATGACATGACCTGAAAAACAAGGTCATATCTCTGAAACCAAAAACCACAGAAACTTGAAATTTTCAGTGGACATCAAGAAAGGATAGAGGAGCAGCTATACGAAAAATCAGCCTTCTAGCTTGAAAAATGTTGAGTGCAGGGCAGAAAGACTACCTGGGGGGTGGCAACCACCCCCCCCCCACCCCATGTGCGGGCGAGGGTTAAATGTATGAAGGTACAGTTGCCTTATTGAATGTGTCACATGCAAATAATGGGTGATTATCTTTTTTGCACCATATGGTCTCATTGACATAACTGGCTGGTTGTTTGGTTTGCACCAACAATCGACAATCACGGTGAGGTGTCATCGACTGAGACTAAAGGCGAAAATGTGTCTTAAGTGTGCAGTCACAAGCTGCGCAGCTTGCCTCTGAACACGTCATCGGGCGTTGACACAACGACGTGGCAGCTGTGTGACAGTGACATGACAGTTTACATAATGTCGGCGCTGTCAGGCCTTCGTCCGTGCTGTCCGCCCCAGCTTAGTCAGACAACTCCGTCCCGGCTATTAGCCGTTTTCAGGACGGCCATCTGGTACACATTTGGTGCACATCTGGTACAGATTAGGTGCAGATTTTCATAAAATGAACATATTTGCTGTAAAAGAAATTAGGTGCAGATTTGGTCAAATCAGGTGCATTCGCCCAATATAGCCCGTCGTGAAAACGGCTATTATATCATATACTGCCCCAGCCTAACGTCTGTGCTGCCAGCCCTATACCGTCACACGCGCGCTGACACGGCGCGCTGACCCGCTGACCCGCTGTGCTGACCCGCCCCGCTGACCGCCCGGCATGCCGACACGAGTTAGCACTGAGCGTGTCGCAGCTCCGGGCCCACGGCCAACCGGATACGACTGACGAGATCGCAACACATCACTGCACCGCCGACCGAAAATATTGATTGGGAAGGTGGTATGCGTAAATATGTACCTAAATTGTACCCGTAGGTAAATCCGAAATCGGGATATATTATTGTTTATGTGAGTGGAGTGTGACCAGTACAGATCAACCATCAGTGATGTCGGTAAACTTATTTATAGCTCAACTTTTAATTGAATGCGAATCGCAATATAGCTCATGCATAGAAAACTTGTTCGTTGAAAGAAGAAAATGACAGCTAAAATCAAATGTATCGACTGCTTTACACCTATAACCTGTTTCTGACAAGAATAGCTGGATGGGCAGACAATATCGCACAGATGTTATATAAGTGGAAAGTTTTAATTCACCAGATAGAGAACTGTAATTGCTCAGGGCTTATGAAGAAGGACGAGGATCATCTATTGCAAATGGTCGACAGCTCGACAACGACTAAACTCAAATAATAATGCTGTACTTAGTTGACAACGGACTAGTGCACCGTGACCACTGTCCACCAAGAACGTTCAATTACCGGCGAGAAACGGTCACAGGTGGCGGAAAGGGGGGGGACACCGGGGCACCGTGCCCCCCTTTGATTTTGGCATTTTAACATTAGCCTTATGGGCGTTGCATGGAAAGAATGGGACCAAAGAGCAGTCGTGCAATTATGGTTGATCGTTTAAGTTAGCCTACTCGCTATTCCATTATCGTAAACTACTTTAAAGGATAGCAAACTCCAGTTTGACCCTTGATTTTAATTTGGATTGGCCAGAAAATGCGTCGGATGGTCGGATCCTCCCAACACTTAACTGCCTTCTCGGTGTCATATTGCACTTTGTTCCATGATTTACAAGTACAGACACTTGAATCTGCGGCACAGCGGATGTTGAAATGCCCAAAGCTTAATTTCCGTTCCCCGTAGGGAGCCAGCGAGCCTGTTTTCTACATGAGCATACATTAACGCCATTGAATGGAAGCAGGTTTCCACTTTGTTGCACGAGGTCGGCTGATCTGGTCAGTGGCCATGGCGCTCTCCGGTTTCGGCCCTGTTTCCGTCTGTTTCCTTCTGGCTGTGTGTGTCGCCGGGACAGTGGACGTTACTGTGTATGTGACCCGCTCAGTGGTGCACGCCGAGAGGCCTCTGGTCGCTCCAGTGGCCACCCCCTCGGCGCTCACCTGCGCGATGCTCTGCCGCCGCTCGGAGGGCTGTCTGAAGTGGAGTCGCCGCGCGGAGGGGCCCGCGGCGGCGCTGTGTTACCTGTGGCCGATCCACTCTGCCGACAACCCGCTGACCGCTGCTGCCGAGACGGTGCACCAGTTTATTGTTCCTCCCGGGTACGTGCTGTCTCCGTCTAATCGTCGAGTTGCCTACAGAGGCCACACAGCAGACACGCCGGGTGGGTATGGCCTGATCGACATGTGTCGCAAAGATGACCCCGAGTCCGTGCCGGCTTTTCCAACAAACGACGAAGAAATCCGTGGTCTCGTCAGTCTACCGTTCGACAACTACTGGACCAGCATCAATGACATACAGGAGGAAGGCGTGTTCAAGGACCTGTTCCACCAGAGGAAGACTAATATCGACCCGAAGTGGTACCAAAGCATCTACAACAACAGGTTCACGGAGCATGAGAGCGACTGCGTGTTGATGTTGACTGGTCATGGCTTCATCGCTCGTGAATGTACTAAGATCCTGAAGGGGTACGTTTGTGAGTATCGTCTGTAGAGGCAATGCCGCCAGGCGCCAGTGACTGGGAGCTCTGACATCTCGTCCCTGATGTGATATAGGCAGTATAGGCACATAGACACCAGGGCATATTTTAACAAATTTTTACTGCGTCCCAAAGTTGAGCAGAGGGCACGTGCTACGACTAAGGGCACAGGGCAAGGAACAGAGTAGGGTACTGAGGAGGGCAGAAAGTAGAGCATGGCAGGTTACAGGGCATGGCACAGGACATTTTAGAGGGAAGGGTGCAGGTCAGGGCACACAGCAGGGCACAGGTAAGGGAACCGGATAGGGCATAGGGCAGGGACGCAGAGGGTCAAATCAGCAGGGGCTACGTCCCAAGGCGAGGGGGCTGCGTCCCAGAATGGGACGCAGTAAGTACCTTAAAATATGCCCTGATAGACACTGAGGAGTGAGGAGGCGTGAATTCGTTCTACATGCAGCCTAACGCTTCGATAAATAACTAGTTTCGTCCGATTTAAATCGCTTCTGCTTTGCTCGGTCGATGTTTTGAGCATCAGAACTTAGCTTAGAGCTTGCTTGGCCTCGTTTTCGTAAAAAGCTTTCGCAGAATGCATACTCGTATAGTTTTCACGGTATGATAGAAAGACGAAGATCTCGTATCAGCTGAGATTTCGGTCTCGCGTGATGAGCTTTGTTCTTTGTGAAACGGGGTACATATGACGGAATGCTGATTGCTGAGCATGTGATATCGTTTCTGATGTCTTACATACTAAAGCTTTGACCTGCCTCCATGATTGAAGTGAGTCTCGCAGGGATTTCTTTTCACCAGACACCAGCTATTTCTTTTCCTACTCGTATGATGAAAAAAGATCCTGATCCTATTCATTGAAACGGCCTACGATTGGTGACTGGTAAACCGTCGCGACGCCGTCCTCGGCGGCCCCAGGAATCCAAAGGACTGGATCTCAAAGCCTCGCAGGTGTTTAAACTTAAAACGGTATAGGTACGCGATAACTCAGAGACGGATAATCCTTACACGAATAATGCAAATTTGCTAATAATCTCTGTTGCGCGTCGGCGTGTCGTTTCATACGCAGAGTTAGCGATTGCCGATTATGTCCAGGTGGGTATATGAACTCCATCGTTCTTACTCATTTTGAAAATAAATTGATTGACGCTCATATTTGCCAAACACCAATTCTTTGTCATGGTCGGCGACGATTGACAGGGATGGGTTAATTTAGATGCCTATAAATTGCCGTTCTTTTCGTTCGTACCGCACCTTTGGTAGAAGTACAGCACCAAAAGCGCCAAAAGGTGGACAAAATAGCAAATTCAAATAGTGCTATTGATTCAAATTTATTGACTGCGGAGGAGAACCTGCCCCAGTCTTCCATGGGACAAAGACACACGCTATTAAAATTGCAGTTTCCCGCATGAGCCGAATATGAAGGCATAAATAAAATGCAATTATTCATTTGGTAGATAGGTAGGTACCTATAACACAGATGGTGTAACAGAAAGAACTGCCACGGACCAGACATCACAACCGGTTTCTTATTCACCCAGATCCAGTCATCATAACACGAACTGATCAATTGGGAGCGAAAAACGGCGATCTTCTCGCCCGCCTTCTCTTCTTGTTTTCAACAAGCGGTTCAGAAGGGTTGGCATGAGGACACCTGTTGATCACGGTTATAGGTGCACCTCTGTCCGGCGGGACAGGGCGTCTTACAGGCCGGCAGGCAGCTCTTGTTGCAGCCGTAGAAGCAGCACGCCCGGCCCTCCGAGCACACGGAGTTGCCGGAGCAGGAGTCCACCCGGGGTCCGCGGCAGCGCACGATCGGCCCCAGGTCATCAAACGGACACTGCAGCGTGGTGCAGACGGAGCTGAGCCCGTCCTTCTGCAGTTCACACTCCTCGCCATCGGCACAGGCCGGCTGGCACACGGGGAAACAGGCGCGCGCGCACACCCGACGGCAGCAGCCCTGGCCGGCCGGACAGTCGGCGTTCGACGAGCACTTCTCGTCGATACCGGCACAGCGGACCCGCGGACCGAGACGATCTATGGGACACTGGCCGCCGCCCGCCGAGGAGCAGTACCCTACCAATACACAGGAGGAGACGTCAGAGAGCTGAGCGGAGCCTACAGGACTCGCTTAGATAGAAACATCTTAACCCGGCAGTTGCTGGGGTATTTCGCCACCCACCGTTTGCTGGGGGGGGGGGGCGTTAAACGCCCCCAGCCGATAACTCGAGAACCAATAGGCGCAGCGAAACGCACGAGGCGGCAAACGAAAGAACGCGACGAGACGCTTCAGATGAGTACTTCAAAGTTGAATTTTGAGGTCACAGGTCAGGTCAAGGTCAGGTCAAACACCTGAAATCGGGCTTTCAGTAGCATGGACCTCAGGACTTCGCAATGGGCGCCTCTCGTCATAAACTCTGTCAAAACGGTGCACAATCCATCATATAAGGCCTACAAGAGTGTCAGCTCCATGCAGGGGTCAGTCAAGCATAGGTCAGGGTCAAGGTCAGGTCAACCGGGCAGGCACATATCCCCGAAAATAAAAACTGATATTCGCAGCCTGTGACACATGTTTTATGGGTAATTTGGGGCGTAGAACACGATGGTGGCATTCATTTTATCATATGTGTACGTGTTTGGCTAAAGAAGTTCAATTTAAGAAATTCATGTATCATGGTCGTGAAGTAGTCACGAGAAATTGCCAAGATTCAGTTCAAGATTTTGGAAAATGCGGAACGATAATCAATAATCGAAGATAGCCATTTGATTTTCCATGGTATTGGCAGTCTAATGGCGTTTACGGCATGTCTATATGTCTATTCTGTGATTTTATATGATTTTTTGAACATATGCCGTTTTTGGTCGAAAACTCAGAAATCATGACGTCACTAAAACCTCGATATCTCAAAAATTTTCCGACCGATTTTTTTGACACTTTGTCACATTAAACTTCAATCAATTCCTTACAGGTACCCAAAATTTGGCGCGCCTGCGGCGCGCCGTTTTTATGCTATGGCCCGGCGAAAAAAGTGGGGGCGTTTAACGCCCCCCCCCAGCAACTCGCGGGTTAACTCGTCGCGGGAACCTCTCCCCCGGTTGCGGGATACATACCTACAATAAAGCTTAGCGACCCGACTAAATTACTACGGAACAAATAGGACACAAACAAATAGGACCTACTGACGCTCATTATTGAAAACCGTCTTGCCGTCCCTTTTCATATCTCACCTAGAGCGGGCTCGGCCAGCAGCGTGGCGAGCGCCAGCAGCGCGATGACCGAACGTCCTTCCATCTCGACTCGAGCTGTCAGAATGCTGCGGCGGCGCGGACAGCCCGCGATCGGGGCCGACCCCGCGAGGGGAGGCACGTCACGCTACGTCCGGCCCGCGGCGCAGGGTTTTCTGCTGCCCGCAGACTGCGCGACTGTTCTACACGAGCGCTACGGCGCAGTGGTGATTCAGGGTTCTGCGCAAGACAGAATTTCTTTACGAATAGTTCAAGGTGACTGCGTTGATAGCTATAGCAGAGCGTTACGTGTATTGACTATTGGCATCGCCTCGTTTTTAAAGTTTTTTTCTTATCAGCTGCAAAGCTCGCGAACTAAAGAGAGCTAGAAGAACGATCCATAGCTCATTGAAAAGCAATTAGGCATGTACATTGTACAGGATATTTGAACAGATTTGAAGTCGGATAATCTTCTCGCTTCCGGCCTGCTGAGATAGACATGTAAAAATGAACGATTTGTCGAGCATGAGACCTGTAAAAGTAACATATCTCTGGTCAAGGTCATAACCAGAACCATGAGACCAGCTCGGAGGATGTCACACCATCACAATCCCCACGTTCCTTCGGCCTACATTACCATCATCCATGTCGTCAATGTCACAAATTAGCGTCTCATTATTATTCATATCCGTCCCCGCACACAGAGCATCCTCCCAGGCAATAATTGAATTTGGCTGGCCTATTATGCATGTGGATTAGCATTATAAATGCGGAACATCGGCATGACTTGCCCGTTTGGTTGAGCTGTCAGCTCTGCTGTTCCCATTTAGGGAGTTACGTAAGCTAAATAATGTTGCATTTGTTCAACGAAGGGAGGCATTTGAACAACGGGCTGATGGGGATCTAATTATTGATATTTGACTTTTTTGCCAAACATCACGCAAAAGACATGCAGATTGAACAAGAACACACTTTGGGGTTCAGCGGGTTACCCCAACCCACGCAAGTTGATCAATGATTCATGGTACAATTGCCAACGTAAATCCATTCCTTGAAATTCGTCGGTGTAGGGTACCTACCTACTTCTGATGCCTAGGCCCGAAGTACCTACGAAAGTTCAACAGATACCTACATATGTCACCGATACAGCTATATAGTTTCTTAATAAAAAAACTGTAGTTTTAAATCAGCCAACAATCACATTTTTAAGATGCATTAAAATCGACAATTTTCACGTTCAAGTCATTCGTCATGACATCCGCCGATACAAGAGTGAGAAACGTTGTACCTAGCAACAGACTGTGCCCACTGCCCATTACAAATGAGGAAAAAATGGTTCCTGTCATGATTAATCTCTGTATTACATTTTATCGTCGTTCATTTCATATAGGTGGTTTCCAAAACAAAATTTTTACACCAAGCGGATACATCGTTAGCTAAAACACGCGTGGGCCATCTAGCCACATATCCTTCATGGAAGAAACTTGTTCAGCGGACAGCGAACCCACCAAGCCACCGCTGAATGACCCGGGCATTGAGGCGACGCTTTACATCGGCGCATGCACTCGCAACAAATGCGGCAGATTCAAGGCTAACTGAGAGTGCGCGTTAGTACACATCAACACGGGTGCCCAACTTGTTCACCTACATGGCGTCGGCATCTCGGAACTATGCATCAGTATCCAAAAAAGGATTAGCGGCGGGCGGCATTGTAAGTAGAGGGACCTCCTCCGGCCGATCTCAGCAGACATTATGTGTCCATCACACTATTCAACCGTCCTACAGCGGAGTAAGGAGCCCTCAACCCGAGCCCTGAGCCTGTGGCGTGCCTGACGACTGTCCAGCGTCGCTGCTGGCGGGCTGCTTGTGCTGCCGGTGGCCGATACAGGCCTTACACTCGTCCTCCTCATCCGAGCTGCTCTCCCCGAACGGCTTCGGCTTCCGGTACACGCAGCAGCACTTGGACTTTTTCTTGTTCATGTGTTCGTTGTCGACTGTGCCAGATTGCCAGCCCACCTGCGGAACGCAGCACCGCGTGACTTAGGAGCGGGTCGTAGCCAAGACTACTTTACTACTCAGTCGTAGCTTCACATTTGCAAAAGAAAGGATTAAGATAAAAATACATAATCAACAAAGATTATCAGCAATCGATTTATTAATTAAGCAAATTAATCAGCAAACGATTACTGGAAACATGAAATGGGTTATGCTTAAGGTTTTACACCGTAACAAGCTAAAGTAATACTGTTATAAAGGTAGGGTCGTAGGGTCGACTATTTTTTATTCACTGGGGCTAAGGTCAGGATCTAGCGCGTTCCTGGTTTATAACGCATGCTGAAAGATACAGTAAACCTGGCAAATCATTCTCGGTAATGCAACAAGCGACAACTACTACTAGATGCTTCACCCACAGCGGAACCACCGCATGCGACAATGGGCACCGTTCCCCGCCCCGGTGGGGCCACTGACCCTGCGGGGGTTGTTGGGCCGGACCAGGCGCAGGTGGAGGGTCGGCTGGCCCGTCTCGGCGGGCTCGGCCGGCACCGTCACAGTCTCCGTGGCCACCACAGTCTCCCCCTCGGCCGGCGCCGGCTGAGACATGGCTCACACACGAGGCTACGGTCACCGCTACGGAGTCACCTCAACTACCCGCCTCCTGAGACTGATGGCCGCGCAAGGGTGAGGTGATCACTTCCTTTCAATCACCAGAGGGCCAGGCTCGAACATGTTCTGAATCACCACCTGCGAAAACAGTGCATCGAGTCAAACACAACACAAGGTGAAAGAAAGTATCCACTCACCCCTGCTTTGCTTGGAAGACATTAACATGTTGATCAGGTAATCATTCAAGGGCCCTTAGGTCAAATAATGATCTCAACTCATACAAATTACAATTTAGGTAAAAATACAATTTTGGGACATTGATGCAAGGCATAAGTCAGGCATGAGGTAAGGTATTGCAGGCACATAGTTGCATCTGATCATTCATGAACTGCAGAAAAATCTTTGCCACATCTCACCTGATTTGAACTTTATAAAACTAGATTAACCTACAATGCTAGTTTCCATCAAAAATGATGCATAAGCAATTACCTGTCTCTTCAAGACTTCCAGGAGATTCGTTGCCCTGTCCTGCTCTGCTTTGACCTTAGCTGGATCCTGTAGTGCCCTGCCTTCGCGGAATCCGTCTTTGATGCGACGTAGAAAATATGACCTGTGTGTGTGTGACAATAATCCAGTGTAACTACACACATAAAAAATCACAGTAACTATTTGATTCTAGAAAACACACAAAAATCATGTTAACACTCTGATAGAATATAAAATTGAGGAAACTGCTAAAAGTAAGCTAGTTTGAGTCCTGGTGAGCGGCGATCATGTTGCCCAACAAGACGTCATCCCCAGCTGTACTTAAAGGATGGGGTGGTTTCTCAATACTACTGTGACTTAGGGGAATTGGAATGGGAAAGAGAAAGAGGAGGAATAGAGACCCTCCAGAAATTGGGCGAAATTGGGTGTCTGTTGGGCGGAAGACGAATAAACACATTCCAAATCACCAATATACATGTCTAACTAGTGTCATGGTCATCATATACAACATATATTTCCCAACCTGCTCTCCTAGGCATAAAACCTCAACCTAATCCCTATTTTCCATGAAGCACATTAACATCGACCAACATAAATTGGATAAAAGCGATCGCTCATTTCAGAAGCTTAAGCAAGGAGATTTTATGACAATACCTGAAATTGTAAGAAGAAAACTTGGCACTTTCTCTCAGCAAGCTTCGATAAAGCGAAAGAATTTGCAACTTCGACATCGAAAACGCCATTTCAACATTGATATCACAATGATCACAATTGCATACTCATGGTGAAGAAATTGCGTAATGCCTCTAGAATCTCATGGTCGGTCAGATCACATGATGTCGGCATAAATGAATACTTACAAGCATAAATTTTTGTTGCATTTATCAAATACCGTCATTGATACTTAAATAAAAAGATTTTAAATAAACCAAAATATTTGATTTAATTAAAATGCCTTAAAAGCTGTTAGAAATTTTCTCAAATTCCCAAAGTCACGTGGTTTTAACACACTAACCTAACCTATCTACTGAACTGCGCCACAATATGAACAATGCATGTATTGTTTTTATTTTGAGAAAAGTACCGCGCGGTGAGTGTCAGTGTGCGCTGTTCGTGGGTGTGTTTGGCGAGCAAGTGCAAGTTACAGCGGCAAGGTGGCAGGTGTGTTGTTGGCGTTCTCGCGATTTTTGTGATTAATAATAAACATTGTTTTCTATTCCATTGTATTTATTGTTTATGAATTGTTCCCACTTCCCATTCAATTTGTTACATTTGTTGTTGTACTTGTCACTTGTCAGTCCAGTTTAGTTAGGTGGGGTCCGGCCAGTCCAGATTATTAAATTAATTTCTTACATCCTCATTTATCATCATTTAATTACATCATCATCCAACCTGTTATGGATACTCAACATTAATTAATTTATTTATTTTTTGTTTCACCCGACTGCCAAAAGCCACAAAAAGCGAGTATTATGACGGAAACTGGCAGACAGAGACACACCTGCACCCCATTCGCACATTTCATACAATATTGATAATATGTTCAATTTTTATACTCTTATTATTCTCACCAAAAATCAAAATAAATGCTCAAAGAAGACACTTGATAGTGTTACATAGGTTCCTAATCACACAATTTGCCAGCATTTGCTGTATTTTTAAGGTACTTATTTGCTAAACTTGGCAGTAGGTACTTGTTAATTTACCAAAATATTGTGAACTATAATGAATTTGCTGTGCTGTAATAAATTGCTGAATTATTTTCAGATAAATTAGAAGTACGCTGAGCAGCAACAAATCAACAGAAGATGGCTGCAAGGAGAAAACCAAAAGCGGGAAGAGGAGGACGTGACCTGTCTCAGGTACCTATGTGCTTGGCTGCAGGCTGGGAATCAGTTGAACTTGAAGGAAAGTCTCCCAATGATCTTAGTAGTACTGTTGCTCTATCTACCTCTCCCAGTAGCCCTCTATGATCCCATGTCAATGTGAACCCTGCATACCTCGTGTGCATCCTTAGTCTGACCCCCCTTTGGTCTCTATTTGATGGCTATCCCCTGTCTGTGTGACCCCATATGACCTTTGCATGCTCCCCACAGTACGGTCTGATGTCGGTGGGTGGCGCCGACATGGCCGGCC